CTCCTTCTCCTTGGTCTGCTCCTACCTATAAACACAGAGGTCATTTTCCAAAACTGCCGCCTCAGAGACAACAGTCGCCAATTTATCGGCACTCATGCCTAGCTCACCTTTAAGCTCATTAAGCTTTGCCGTCTTCGTATCCAATTCGACAGTTAAATTGGCCACCCTCGCTTGGAGGTCGACATTCTCGGCCATTACCCCTACTTATCTCAAGCTCGTCTTCCTTCATTTTAAGGGATGCCTCGAGCTCACTGTTGAGGGAGATGGCCTTCATAAGGTCCTCATCTTGTTCCCTTAACTCCTCGACCTTACGCGCCAATTGATCCTCCCTCTGCTTGATCCCTTCACGGAACAGCTGGAAGTCAGGATCCTGAGTGTAGATGTCGTCCATCGTATGATGCTTGGTGCGATATTATTGATATTTAGAAGACATCTTTCCATAAATGGTCGTCCTCTTCCTTTCCCGGCGCTCGCGCTCGATCTCCATGATAAAGGTCTGGCACAAAAGGTAATGTTAAAACAAAAGGATAGGCCAAAAAACAATAATACAAACCCGACGACGAAATGAAAAGGAAGATATCTACCCGCAAGGCCATGCCAGAGACCCTCCAAGACAACTCCATATCGCTCATCGCTCTAAGCGCCTTGTTCTCAGGGGCATCACACAAAGGAGCTAAAGCAGACGCCACCTGATCGCAGTCCGACAACAAGTTGTAGTCCCCAGGGACAACTATATGTCGATCAGAACCCTCCACCCTGACCTCTACGTGAGTGTGATGCTCCAAAAACTCACGAACATCCCCCGTGTCGACATCCGAGCCCGAGTCTTCGCCCTCGACTCGTAGGCCCCCTTTGACGTTAGACGATGCACTACTCCCAACAGAGCACACAGAACCACCACCTTGGTAAACCCCTTCTATTTGGGGAGACCTCCCCGCCAAGATGGCATCGGCCATAAACGTGGGCACCGGTGCCGTCTGCGATGCATCCGTCCTACCCTTACCAGTATCAATGGCCATGCCCTTCCCAAGCTCCACCCTCCTCCTTTTACTCAATAACGATTCGTCTTCATTAGAGGACTCCTCCACCAGGTGATGGATCGGTAAGGAAAAGGTCCCTTCCCTCATGACCATATCGCGAGAAGGATCTCCCATCTGTATCGGTTGAGTATGACCCTCTCGGACGGACTCACTCAAAGTAAATTGCTTTCCTACAGCAGTGATGACCTGTCAAAATATAAGGAATAGGGCCCTCCGCCTAGAAGCTCTGCGACCTGTCACCATAAAGAGTCGTATCAATAGACAATGGTATATACCCGAAGAGTGATATAGAGGAAGACACTTACCAGATGAAACTTTTGGCCCAAAGCATTTCACGAAAGCGGGCCAGTCTTGAGTCTCCACTGCATGGGGTAGCAGACGAGCTACCCAATCCCTTATACCTACAATGGGGTGGGGTGGACGCCCCATAGTTGCAAACGAGAAGCAAATAAACACTAAGGTAGATAAAGAAGAAAAGAAAGAGTAAAACAAGTAGCGACACTTACGATTCTCGTTCCACCGCTCTGGAAACCTAGCGGGGTCAGACACGATGTGTTCGGTTCTGACGAAGAAGTACTTATGCCAAAATTTGCGACTCGCTTGGTCGTTGGTTCCAACCACCAGCCCTTTTTCCCATGGTGCCTCAAATGTACCATAGTACCCCTATGAATGTTGGGTGAAAACAAGTGTAGAAGGTGGTGAATGGTAACCTCGCACCCCGCCAACTCCGCATATTTTGTCAACATCAGGAGTATTTTGAGCGTGTACTGGGAAAGTTGCGCTGGGCAAACCTGATAGAATTGACAGAATTCTTCCGCTAATGGGAGAAGGGGGAAGGAATGACCGATCACAAAGGGGTACTCATAAAAAGCACAGTACCTAGGCTTATGGATTTCCACGAAGTCCCTTCCCGCTGGAACCATATCAACATGAGCGGGAATGTTATATTTTATACGGAGAGCATCGATATGGACTTGCTCGGTTTCAGAAAGTACAGGGGTAGGAGTAGGAGGAGGATCCTTAAGGAAGTCGCTTCGAGGCATATGGTGTCTCGGTAGTAATTCCTCCACGATGGGAAAGTTGTCCCCCTCCTCCACCGTCATGTCCTCACCGCCAGAGGGGAGCGCCATGGACAACGTGGTGGCTTCAGAAACTCCCTCACGAGATTGATGGGTTCTAGGCATCTCTACGGCGGAAAACCAAAAATATGTTGAAATAATAGAAAAAGCTAAGAATGAAGAATGGAAGAAGAGAGAGCAGAGAAATCGTTGGAGCAAACAAGGGAGAGATGAAAAAGAATAACCAGAGACGAAATGGCCAAGAGTTTTCGAAAAAACAAACCCTCCACCTATTTATAGGATTGGGTGGCACTAGAATCGAAACGGAAGGCTGCAAAATGGCACATAATTCGAAGCGACAAGCCCTCAGCCCCTGTCTCGAAAATACGCATAATGATGGCGCACGTGGAAATGACGTCATTTCCCGATAAGATACACCACCCAAGGTCTTCTTGAGCACGCAAACCCCCCCTATTGTTGGCCAATCCATGGCGCTTGGTGAAACCAAATCTCTCCACAAGAGTGGGCGGTGTCCGCTTATCAAGGACACACCAATTTGTAACCTCGACAAGCGGAGGGACTAACTGTATGTGTCCAAATTTGGACGACCACAGCTACTGACAAATACGGCAAAAGATGAGGTCTTCATAGCACGACGTCCTATGGAGGACGACGACCGACAACAGACAAAGGGCGTATGACTTTTGCAGAAGTGTAGGCCTAATAGGGGGCATTAGGAATATACTTTCGAATATTCCCTAAGATATGTCTTTTATGGCTTAGAAGAGGGTTGTCCCTTATATATAATGAGGAAAAAACCTTGTAAGGGGGGCTTCTTCGTGAAGAACACTGATTATAATATCTTTCAATATTGAAGGTTAGCATTTTGAACGTTCAATCACTCATTTTCACAAGATCAAGATATTGTCCATCATGTTCATCCTTTATATCTTTTATTCTATAGTTTATTATACTTAGCTGAGATTTACCTCTTCATTTTCTTTAATTGATTTATTCAAAAAAGTTCCAATATTTTTTGGGTCAAACACCTACTATATTTATTGCCCATTTGGCCAAGTTTCTTTTTGGCCAAAAGTGCTTTTTTTTTGCCAAAATTACTTTTGGCCAAAAATTGAGGTGTTTGGCCAAACTTTTGGAAGAAAAAAAAATGTTTTTGAGAAGAAGTAGAAGCAGAAAAAAGTAGCTTCTCTCCAAAAGCATTTTTTTGAAAAGCACTTTTGAGAAAAATACACTTAGAAGCAGTTTTTTAAAGTTTGGCCAAACACTAATTGCTGCTCAGAAGTGCTTTTCAAACTAATTAGCCAAACACAAACTATTTTCTTACCAAAAGTACTTTTGAGAAAAGCACTTTTAAAAAAATACACTTCTCAAAATAAGCTGATTTTTGCAGCTTGATCAAACGGGTTATTAATCTGATAGGAGTAATTTAAACGGTACCATTATAAAATATTTCACTGTAAGTACATTATATTGCATTAGTCTCTAAAAACGTGCCTTACACGTGTCAATAGTTACAAAATTTATATCCAAAAAAGTAATAAATCTTGGGCTACGATAAGGGCAGTTTGAGACGTAAAATAAAGAATTATTGATTCGTAAAAAGCTCAAATCTTTAGATGCAAATAAGTTATAGTTTCAATGAGGATATCCGTAGAAAATTTCCTTTGCATTTTGGTGTTGAAATTTCATCACTTCGCTCAAGAAACGCTAATGAATCTTGAAATCTGATTTCGTTGGTGAAGTAGCACAATTATTATTATATCCCCAAGAAATTCGTAGGAAGCGGATCTAAGTTCTAACTGTAAGGAAAGATATGCTACTTTTTGTGCCAAACTCTACCTCACTTTTACAAATATGACAAGCATACGCTATGGTACACATTAGAAATGCTTCTGTTTTTTCATTGTAACAACAACAAATGCAGTATAGTCCTATAAAAGGGATCTGGGAAGGATAGAACGTAAGCAGATGTTATCCCTGCCTTTAAACTACTTTTCATTAAATTAACATAAAAGTATACTTGGGAAGATGTAAACTAAACAATGCCAAATATTTTCTTTAATTATGTTTGATCAAATGGTGTTAAAACTTTTTGTTAAACTAATTAAATAAATGATAATAAGTAAATTTTAGTTAAATATAATAAATTCTACGTCCAAGATTGATGATAATAATAATATAAAAATCTCATACAAAGCTATTAAATATCAATGGAGTGTTTAATGATATTGTTATGAATGGATGAGGGGATAAGGACGAGCAATAAATATAGTGAATGACAATAAATATAAATAAAGAGAATGATTCTCCCAAATATTTAATGAGTTAGATGATTCTCTCTAACAATGATGTAAGACAATCAAACGTAGGAATATATGAAATTTCCTCGGATCAGATGTGAGAAAGTTCTGGACAAACAACAAATCGAATCTATTATAAAGATAATGTTTTTAGTTACTTTGAGAGTGAACCTTTCTAAGGAGAGCTTATCATATAAAATATTACATAGCTCTTTCTTTCTCTCTTTCTTCCTACTTATATGGGACATATCCCTTACCTACTTAAAATATCTTATTGCTAAACTAGTCGTTTTGATCGATCTAAGTGCTCGACCTCAACCTTAAGTCCTTAACTGCTCGGCTCGCCAGTGTTGTTTTTTAAACATGACCTTGGCCTAATTAATTCTTGATTGGCCTCTTTCAGTGCGAGGTCACCTTGACCAGATATTGACCCATACAAATTATTCACAACCCTTTATTTCTTACAGCTTTTTATATATCTTGTTTGGTGTATCATTGAATTAATATAAGAAAAGAGATTTTTTTTGTGGATAAGAGAGAGAGGGTCAAAGCATTAAATAATAGTATTGCACATTTTTTTATAATAAAACGGACAAAAAGCATTAAATAAAGTGACAAGCTTTTGCTTCTTCTTCACTTCTGTCCTCTGTTCTTTCTCATATCTAATTTCTGCATTTTTTCTGTATCTTTTCCTTCTTAGAGTCACCAACTCTTATTCATCAGCTCATAAGGTTAGATTTCTAATTTTTTCTAACTACTTCTTTTTGTTCTTTTAATTTGTCTATATAGGGTTTCGCCTCTTTGTTTCTGTTATGGTTTTTTGTTATCATCTTTATGGTTCTGTATTAATGGTAATGCTTTGCTTTTTGATTAGATTCCCCCCCCCCCCCCCAAAGGG